AGAGAGCTGGAGAGTATTATGGAGAGACCTAGAGAGTATTATGCTAAGCCAAATAAGCCAGTCAGAGAAAGACAAGTATCACATGATCTAACTCATATGTAGAATCCAATGAACAAGATAAACCGATGAACAAAATAGATTGAGACGTAAAAGCATGGAACAGTGGAATTTCAGAAGGTGGGGGAGGGTGATTGGGAAGAGATCAACCAAAGAATTTGTACGCATATATGCATAACCCACGGGCACAGACAATAGGGTGCAGAAGGCCTGGGGAAGGGGTGGGGACTAGAAGGAGTTAATGGGGGGAGGGAGGTGAAGGGGAGACATATGTGATACTTTCAACAATATTTATTTTAAAAAAACTGAAAAGATAACATCTAGGTCTTAATTACATTTCAGCTCCAGGCCCAGAAAAGTAGCAAAACCAGACAAGTGTCCCTCAGGACTAGCTACATTGACTAATGACCCCCCTGCCCAGGCACGGACCAACCAGTGGAGACCCTGACCCAGAAAGAGCACACCTGGAAAGCTCAAGAACCTTCTATCAAGACCTCCCCTGACAACTCCCCTAAGATTTCCACCAGCAAGAAAGAGATAAACTCAGGACAAAGGCCCCAGGGCATCCTCTCCCTCCAGAGACCACACCCATCACTGGTGGTATTCCCTTCCCCAACAGGCTCGTTTCCTCCGCCTTCTACCCGGACCCCTGGAGTCTTGCAACCCCGAGAACAAAGGGCAGCAGCAGCTCATCTGAACCTGTCGCCAAGACCCCCCGCACTCCCCTCAGACTTCTCAGTGAGGCAGAGCAGCCCAACCTGGGCTCCCCTCTTCACTGTCCTCACTGTATTTTTGCTGCCATCATGGACCCAACACCCTTTGGCTCCGTGCTGTGTACCCCTTCCCTTTGTATATCCCGATCCCCCAACCCCTTTCCATAAATAAATTCAATTTTTCTCTATCCCCCATCTGAGATGGCTATTTATTTAGCCTGACCACGCACCACCGACCTTAACCCTTCAGAAATATTTTAAACTGTCTTTAAAACTCTATTAAGTAAATACATATTACCCTTACTGAAAAACGGGGGCTTACAGAAGTGAATAAAGCTTTTAAGGGTAACTAATCCAGGAGGACCCCCCCACCCAAAAGACTTTTTTTTAAATTTTTAAATTGATTTTCAGAGGGAGAGAGAGATAGAAACATTAATGATGAGAAAGAATCATTGATCGGCTGCCTCCTACACGCCCCCCACTGGGGATGGAGCCCACAACCCATGCATGTGCCCTTGACCGGAATGGAACCCGGGACCCCTCAGTCGCTGGCGGACGCTCTACCCACTGAGAAAACCGGCTAGGGCCCGAAAGACTTATAGCATGTCTGTGCCCAGGGAAGATCCTGGGCGGGTAGGCACAAAGATTTCATGGAAAGCAGTTCCACCTGGTTAATTTTCTGTTTCCTCTCATGTAAAATATCCACAGAACAGACATCATCTTTTAGGGACTTACTGCCTGTCCCAGTTAGAGTTAGGCGGCGGCTGGGCGGGTCGGGGGTGGGCAAGGGTCGTGAGTTTCAGACTCTGCTTCGCAAACATTTGGAAGACGGCGGAGAAAACAGGTGCTCCGAGGTGAAAGTTGGGACCGGGGACCTCACGGACCACAGCTCCGCCCACGTCGGAATTCCGGGAGGCCGAGTACTGCTGCCCCCACGACCCTCCACGTGGTCGCCCCACAGCCTGGAAGGATGCTGGACTGTGTGCGCAGAGCTGACCCGAGCGGGTCTAAGTGCCCGCGCGGGGGCGGGACAGGACGCCCGGTGGGGCTGCCGGCTCAGCCCCCGCGCCCCCAGCTGGAGGGGACGGAGGTCCTAGTGGCGCGCCCCGGGGACGCGGGTCCGAAGACTCCGCACTTGACCGAGGGGAGGCCGTGCCGCCCATGTTTCCACCAGCCCCTCGGCCGGGTCTCCTGATCCGGCCCCCGCACACTCACCATTTCGGGGTGTCCGGGGTCTCCCTGAGTCCTTCCTACGAACCCCACAACCGGTGCAGATGGCATAAGGGGTGCGGCCGAGCCACCGGGGACTGTTCAGGAAAAGAGAATTCGCAAACCCCCGCTAGGCTTGGAGCCGGAAAGCACGGACACGCCCCCGGCGCCTCACCCCACCCACCCGGCCCAGCGGCATCCTTGATTGGGTACTTCCCCGAGACCCCGCCCCCTCGCGTCTGAGTGACAATAGGCGGGAGGATCAGCCAGACTACCCTGAACTCAGCCAAACCTTACCGCGCCCGGTCTATTTGCATTCGAATAGATCCTTTTCCTGGGTGTGGGCTGGCCGTGCTCTGCTCTTTGCGAACACTGGGCCCAGGAAATTTCGGATTGAATTGCCAAGAACCTGAAGTTGGCTCAGCAGGCCTGGCCATGCTGGAATGAGGGTCTTATGCCTCGAGATGGTCACCTAAGAGTTGGAGTCCACTTAGGAAACTGTTGACCCCTTGTTTAGAAACACAGACAGTGAAATGTGACCGGGCCATCTTTAATAGAGTCTGGCTCCATTGCAATCTTTGCTAAGTCCCAGCCTTGACACTTTCCAACCATCCCTTCCTCGCCCCCAGCCATTCTGTCCTTAAGAATCCCAGAACACTGGGTTCTGGCGGGAAGTCCTAGCCTGGTCGAAGGACTCTCCTCAGTCTAATTACTATGAGATGTGTTCATGAATTAGGGGCATATTTTACTCTAGAAGGAAATTTATTTTAGCCCGTTTTTGCCTGTATCACCCTCCCCTTCCCTTCCCCCCTCGCTCTCCCTCCTCTCCCCTGGCTTTAGATGGAGTGGATGAAAAGGGGCCACATGCTACCCTGACAAACTCAGGGAAGGCCTGCTGCCTGCACGCTTCCTTGCACACTCAGAGACCTAAAGTAACCACAAAAGATGGTCTAAAACGAAAACTTTTAAATTATAGTTTATGCCAGGTAGTCATGTCCTAGACTAGAATCTTCCCTGACAAAGTCCATCTTTACCTTAACTAAGCCTGTCTGTTGTCTTTTGCATCTATGATAACAGACCTTTGGAATGTCAGGGTAACTCTCCTTTTCCAGGTCCCTCAGGGCACAACTAATGCCCTTGGGTGGAGACCATACTTCCTCTCATCATTAATGTTGTCATGTTAATTGCTGACTGTTAACTATCCGGTACCCACCTAAGTAAAAGTGTGTGTATCTACCATTTTACTTTTCATCCACTTTGCTTTCTCCCATCTCCCTAATCTATCACCAATGGCTGTCAGGTAACTCACGTCTTCTGTTTTGAGTGTAATGTCTAAAAATAAGATGCAAAACTTCCATTATCTGAAGCATTATCTCATTCAAACCTATAGAGAATTTTTGTGAGTTTATTTGAGCCAAACTGTCAATGCTGGAAAGCAAAATCTCAAAGGATTGAATGTTTGATTGTATATGCTTAAAAGTACATGCATTTTTTTTTGTCAAACGAATACTTCTATAGTTGTTTCATAGAAATATTTTATTAATGTTTGTGAAGATGTTGAATGCTAATAGTCTATTTTATTGAGAGAATATATTAAATTATTTCAATATAATTAGATTGTCAGATAAACTTGACTATTTTCTTCATCCATTATACTTTGAGTCAATTATATCATGTATCAAATACATATTCAGGTATATTTTCTTAATTTTCATTCTTTTATAGTTAGAACTTTTGTAATGAAACTCATTTCTTATTCATTCTTTTTTTTAAAAAATCTTCAATGTTGAAAGTATTCAGATGCCCCCTACTTTTCCCCCAATTGAGCTCCTCTCCCACCCCTTTGCCCCCAGGCCTTCACCCCACTATTGGCTATATCAATGTGTTGTAGGCAGGGAAGGTACCAGGTGTCTGACCTGTGGGGTCAGACCAAACCTGGGTTCAGCAACCTCAGTACTTAGGTTCTGGCTAGGAAAGAATTCAGAGAAAGACCCAAACTGTAAGAGAACAGTTACTGGGTAAATTATGGAGGTAGGAGAAGTAGTTTTTAGAAGAAATGGGTTTAGGAAACAAGTTCTAGAGGTAAAGGAAGGGCCCTTGGAGCTTGGGAGTGAGGAAGCTAATGGTAACATGCCTGGGGTTAGGAGGGGAGAGGGAGTAAGAAGGGAAGGGAAAGCCAAGGGTGTGCTCTGGGGAGGGAAAGCGCTCTGGGTCCTCCTTCCTACGGGTTTAAGGGTGGAGATTTAAGGGAGGTACCAGGAAAAGATCTCAGTAGAATATTCAGCAGTTTTCCAGATGTGTCCTTTCAGGGTTGTGGTCTCCAATGATTGATTGGCTTATACCAGAGAAGGGAGTCATTGTACCTTGGTTTCAGGCACGACCCCAGTGGGGGGTGGGGGGGGTGCAGGAGGCAGCTGATTGATGTTTCTAACTCTCTATCCCTCTCCCTTCCTCTCTGTAAAAAATCAATAAAATATAAAAAAAGAAAAGAAAAAGAAATACAGCTTGAGGCCTAGATGTTATCTCTAGGGAGGAAAGGTCAGGATCCAAACCACAGGACCAGCCATATGCTAGAGGAGGGAAAAGTCACCCTGGGGCCAGATCCCATCCTGCAATTGATTGTCACTAGGCACAGTGGAGGCTGGCTGGAAGCAGGTACCTGGGATTTGTCTTTTTTTAAAAAAGTATATTTTATTGATTTTTTACAGAGAGGAAGGGAGAGGGATAGAGAGTTAGAAACATCCATGAGAGAGAAACATCCATCAGCTGCCTCCTGCATACTGGGGATGCGCCCGCAACCAAGGTACATGCTCTTGACTGGAATCGAACCTGGGACTCTTCAGTCCACAGGCTGACACTCTAGCCACTGAGCCAAACTGGTGAGGGCATTATTTGTCTTCTATAATTGAAACTTTGTTCCCATGACCAGAGGCCACAACTGGCTCAGTGCAGGCGGGAAGCTTGGCTTCCTCCATCACCCGGGCAACCAAGCCTCCTGCTTGTTCCAGCTCCGTGGCTGCTGGCCGCCATCTTGGTTAGGTTACTTTGCATATAGTCGCTCTGATTGGCTGGTGGGCATGGCTTAGGGTGTAGCAAAGGTATGGTCAATTAGCATCTTCGTCTTTTATTGGTATAGATTTTTTATTGATTTCAGAGAGGAAGGGAGAGGGAGAGAGAGACGGAAACATCAATGATGAGAGAGAATCACTGATTGGTTGCCTCCTGCACGCCCCACAATGGGGACTGAGGCCACAACCCGGGCATGTGCCCTGGCCAGAATCGAACCCAGGACCCTTCAGTCCACAGGCCGATGACAAATTGGCTAGGGCACAATCAGTTCTTTCTTGCTCAGAGACTATACTCCGATGATAATGGGTCAAGATCCCTCATTGCCATGTCCTTTAGAGTCATCATACTCAATTTAGCACAAAAGCTCTGTAGGATTTGAAAATCTTGGTATGAAACAAACAAGTTATTGAAGCCCTGGTGCTTATGTTTTTGTGGAAAAAGAAATGACTAACAAATGGTAAATCTTTGGTTTATAACATGGCTTTAATGGAATGTAAAAAAAAAAAAAAGATAATAGTGAGGCTGGGTTGCATATATATTTTTCTATGAGGCTAGCAGCCACAGTGAGTAACAATGTCATATTGAGCTCTTGAATTTCTACTGTGAAATATATCTTCAACAGTGTTTCAGGAACTGTGTGGGTGTGGAAGTCAACAGAGGGAGCAATATTGAAATTCCTGCATTCCTGTGATTAACAGTAAAGATTCCCCATAAAGATAAAAGATACAGGCATGGTTATTCATTCTAGCAATGGTTAAACATTTAGTGTAAAAAAATGCATAGTCACCCTAGCTGGTTTGGCTCAGTGGATAGAGCATTGGCCTGTGGACCAAAAAGTCCAGGGTTCAATTCTAGTCAAGGGCATGTACCTCGGTTTCAGGCTCCTCCCCAACCCGGGCCCTGGTCAGGGTTCATGCACGAGGCAACCAATCGATGTGTTTCTCTCACATCTATATTTCTCTCTGCCTTTTTCCTCCCATTTAGGGAACACCTACATCCATCTGCCCCATTCTACCCTATCCTGAGTTTATTCTATGTGCAGGGTGATATCTATGCAACCCTACTGTGAATCCCCAGTGGAAAACCAGAAAGAGGTATGCATGCTTACAGGCAGTCATCTATGTTATAACTGAGGTGAGCTGTAGAGTGGTGGTATCATTTTGAGAAATATCCTAATCCTATATAATAAAAGCTTAATAGGCTAAGTGTCCAGTTGTCTGGCTGGCCATTCAACCAATCAAAGAGTAATATGCTAATGACATACTAAGGCCACTCAACTGCTTGCTATGATGTGCACTGATCACCAGGGGGCAGAAAGTCAACTGGTCAACCAGTTCCTATGACATGCACAGACGACCAGGGCGCAGATACTCTGACTGGTAGGTTAGCTTGCTGCTGGGGTCCAGCAGATCAGGACTGAGCGAGATGGGCTGGACACGCCCTGGAGCCCTCCTGTGGTCCCTCCCTGGTTGGCCAACCTCCTGCATCCTTCCCCGGCCCCAATCGTGCATCCTTGGGATCCCTCTCACAATCTGGGATCCCTCAGGGGATGTTGGAAAGCCAGTTTCAGCCTGATCCCACAGGCCAGGCTACAGGACCCCACTGGTGCACGAATTCGTGCACCAGGCCTCTAGTTGACTAATAAAAAGATGTATGAGAAGTTTTCAATATCTTTTTATTATAAAAATGGCTGCAAGTCCTTTTGTGTCAACATTCCACAAACCCCGTAGTTGATTTTCCTGTTCAAAGGTTTTATTCCCATACGTTTAGATGTGCAGCACACGTGGAAGAGTGGGAAACAAAAGGAACAGCAGCAGGTAACAGTCTTCCTGACAAGAGGAAGGTTCTTATTCCTTCCTCTTATGGGCAGCCACTGCACATGCACCGGAGAAGCAACATCCAGTGTCCTTTTCTTTTTCTTACCATTGTTTCTATCTCTATTTCTCTCTCCCTTTCTCTCTGAAATAAATAAAAACATATATTTTAAAAAAAAGAAAGAAAAAAAAAAGATGAGAATCATTGATCGGCTGCCTCCCGCATGCCCCACCCCCTACT